TTATGTAGTTTTCAGCATACACATTTTGTGCTTCAGCAGTTAAATTTATTCCATGATGAAGAATAAAAATGAAATGTCCAAGTTTTGTTATAAATTCTTCTGCCACTAAAATAAAGCCACTTTCAGAAAATCTAGTCTTCCATTTGCTAAAGGAAAGCCTCCCATCAATATTAATGCTGCCAATCTTCTATCTTTAACACAATGTTAAATTTATGAGTAAATATTGAAGCACTGGAGCTGAATCAGTAGCTACAGATGTGGATGTAGTAATGAGAATCAGGTACTGTAGCCTTGGCAGACATTTCACACTATTCTTGTTGACTTTGTTTTGCTTGCTTCCATATCTTAGGTAGTCAGAATTAGACTGATTTTCAAACCCTATCTCATTCCACAAACTTACTGAATGAAGGGCCTACAGTTTGCCAGGCACTGTCTCAGTCAGATTCCCTTCATTTTCTAGTAAGTGGCCCCTCAGCCTCACCTTGAACAGTCACAGTAAAAAGAACACAGTTTTTCCTTTTTGAGATCCTTGTTTCATTTGTTAGCATTTTTCTTAGAAAGTGTTTGCTCATCTGGAAGTAATTTTTCCAAAATAGGGAAACAACATATATATGCTAATAGTTCCAGTCAACAAAAATATTTCTAATGGAAATTATATAATGGCATGGAAAATGGCAACAGAATGATGTTGATGAAACATAAAATGTAGGATAATTCTAATTTTGCTAAATAAAAAAGACATAGATATATATTGTAGGAATGAACTGGAGATTTTCATTATCTGAGACACTACAAATAGACCATTAGTGAACTTAAATTTCATGATAAACCATGGGAAGTGGGCAGTAGGGGAAATGTTTTCTCAAAATTAGACAAAAGATACATAACATAAATTTTAATGTTTACAGTGATTACAAATATTGAACCAGAATCTCTCAATGATGAAGTATTTCAACTCCTGCTTTTATGAGCAGCCATTTCTCAGGTCATAGTACTCTTCTGCTGCATTCAGTTCCTCTTTTGGAAAATGAATTCATTTAAAGGTTATGCTGTAATAGCCAAGTTATGGAAATAGCCAAGATGCCCCACTACTGATGAATGGATTAAGAAAATGTGGTATTTATACACAATGGAATTTTATGCAGCCATGAAGAAGAATGAAATGTTATCATTCACTGATAAATGGATGGAATTGGAGAACATCATTCTGAGTGAGGTTAGCCTGGCCCAAAGACCAAAAACCGTATGTTCTCCCTCATATGTGGACATTAGATCAAGGGCAAACACAACAACGGGATTGGACTTTGATCACATGATAAAAGCGAGAGTACACAAGGGAGATATGAGGATAGGTAAGACACCTAAAAAACTAGATAACATTTGTTGCCCTTAACGCAGAGAAACCAAAGCAGATACCTTAAAAGCAACTGAGGCCAATAGGAAAAGGGGACCAGGAACTAGAGAAAAGGTGAGATCAAAAAGAATTGACCTAGAAGGTAACACCCACGCACAGGAAATCAATGAGAGTCAACTCCCTGTATAACTATCCTTATCTCAACTAGCAGAAACCCTTGTTCCTTCCTATTATTGCTTATACTTTCTCTTCAACAAAATTAGAGACAAGGGCAAAATAGTTTCTGCCGGGTATTGAGGGAGTGGCGGGGAGAGGGAGAGGGCGGGGGGGTTAAGAGAGGGGGTGGGGAAGGGGGGAGAAATGACCCAAACATTGTATGCACATATAAATAAAAAAATAGAGGTTATGCCGTAAGTAATTTAATTTACAGAAATACACTCACATCTACCTGTTCTTCTATTGCCAAATAATTTTCTGTGCAGAACTGGGTGGGGCAAATGACTATGAACACTCAGGGAATACCCATTTCTCTTAGTGTATAGCACCATGATTTTATGGTTCATAGAAATCAATTTACAAATTCTTAAAAATAATAACATCAAGATGATTATATATGGGAGAGGGAGGGGGTGGGGTATGTAAGGGAGGGGGTAGGGGAAGGGGGGAGAAATGACCCAAACATTGTATGCACATATGAATAAAAAAAGATGATTATATAAATAAATTAATGATAATTTTTTAAAAATCTTACTCAAAACATGGTATGGATCTAAGACTCACAGGAAAGTCTTTGCAATATTTAAGAAGAGACCAGATGTAAGCATTTGCCCTAAAAATACGTACTTTAACATCTCTTGGTCACATCTTTCCTGAATTCCAGAAGTATGAGTTCTCATACCGGTTTTTCATAAAACAAAAACATCTAAAAATGGACTTTTTTTTCTTAAAGTAACTTGCCTGGGTCTAAGCTAGCTTTCCTTTGTATGACTAGGAACTAGGAGTAGAATGTAATTGTCCAATTTATTTACTTTTTATTTTTTTTTAATTTTTATTTATTTTTTTTCTTTTATTATTCATATGTGCATACAAGGCGTGGGTCACTTCTCCACTCTGCCCCCACCCCCTCCCTTACCACCCACTCCGTCCCCTCCCTCTCCCCCCCCACCCCCTCAATACCCAGCAGAAACTATTTTGCCCTTATTTCTAATTTTGCTGTAGAGACAGTATAAGCAATAATAGGAAGGAACAAGGGTTTTTTGCTGGTTGAGATAAGGATAGCTATACAGGGTATTGACTCACATTGATTTCCTGTGCGTGTGTGTTACCTTCTAGGTTAATTCTTTTTGATCTAACCTTTTCTCTAGGTCCTGGTCCCCTTTTCCTATTGGCCTCAGTTGCTTTTAAGGTATCTGCTTTAGTTTCTCTGAGTTAAGGGAAACAAATGCTAGCCGGAAAGCCTTTGGAGTTAACAAAAGCCTGCTTCAGAATTCAGTGTGAGCTGGGGCAAATTACTGACAGCTTTGATACTCAGAGAAGGTAGCTGCATTACTGTTATGTTGACAGAATAAAATAACACACGTAAAAGAGCCCCACCTTGTGCTGCTTTTCAGCATCTGGCCAATAAATGATTATTTTCAAGTTGCACTGGAACTGGGAGTGCTTGAGTTTTAGTGTCCTCTAGGAAGCAGTCTGACTTTACATCAGAATTTTGGACTCAAGTTACAGATTCCTAGGTTATGGAGGTGGCTCATTTTATGACATGCTGTGGAATTTAGCAGAAAGTTCCCTCACATCAGCTCCTCTTTCCTGATGGGCATATTATTTTAGATATTTTTATTTGCAATTTAGTAACCATGATTTCCTTAATTGGATAAGAACATTTTAGAATTCAGAGTGTTACCAAAAGATGCCAATGGGCCAAAGAGGCTAATTGTGATATTTCCTTAACTTCAAATTCATATAACTAGTTAGTGGCAAATCCATGTTGTTTATTTTAAAAACAAAAACTATAAATGAGAAGCTATGTACCCAAGTTTACAAAAAGTTTCTAGAGTCCTTTGAAATGTGTAGAGAACTGTTGGTGACAGGGACAATAACTATGACTGTAACAGTTGTCGTAGACTATTATCTAGACTAATCAGTATTATATTGTCATAATCAGTACTATAATTCAGTTATTATGACTAAGCTAAGTGACCTCCACCATGCCATTGCAGGGCTCTGGGTAATAGTCTCTTTTTGTATTTTGGGGTTACTGAGTAACTCTTCTTTAAACCAGGATTGATGCTGGATTCTGTTGAATTCTTCCCCTTAGTCACTTCTAGATATTTTTAGTAGCATACCCTTTTGGGTGGCTGAAATTGGGACAATATTACTATCAAAAAGGAGAACACTTCTCTCCTCCTTTATTAAATTAGCAACTCAGACTTAGATATGAGGCTAACTGACACATGGTCTTTCCTCAGCTTATGTACTTTGAGACACAAAATCCACTTATAGCACCATGTATTAGGTCAGTGAAACTTGTTGGTCATTCATTTTGAATAACACTGATGAAAGAAATGCAAAAGTGTGGAGGAAGGAAATTAAGGAATTATCCTTGTTGACACTGTAGAGAGTAGATCAAAATAGCTTTCACTAAACTCTGAGACCAGAACTTAATGTATTCATAATGTCCAAATCATATGAAAAATAAGACAGTCTATATTTGGTGTATGTAATGTGGAGCTAAGAGTTTTCACATATATTTTATTTGAACAGACTAGTTTGACCAGGTGCACTCATAGAATTCTTGCAATTTAGAATCCACTGGAGACAATTAGTTCAGGAGGAACCTGTCTTCATTGGGTATATCAATACCCTACATCTGTGACCAGCAAGGCTGGAAGCAACCCACCATCTGCTCCTAGTTTCTCTTTCCAGCACTGCTTTCTTATAAGGCACTGTTCTTCAAACCCAGACAAGTTTCTCTGTCAGATTTATGTCCTATAAAAATAAGAGGCTGTTCCTTTGATCTTCCTGGGAATATGGCAACATGTATTAAAGAGTACATTTTCATTAAACAGTTCTCAAAATTGGTTGCTACAAAATCTGAAAGTCCTTTAATTTCCTTTTGAAATCACTTTATTGGTGAATTGGCTGCTGAAAGTGCTGTAGGGAATCACACATCTACCAAAAATGGGGCAAGACCAGGCTCAAAAACCCAGAGCAATTTCATAATGACTAAAGTCTTAATATTTACTATTAAGCAGACATTATTATGACAATTTTTAAAGTATGAACTTCAAAATACACTTCAAACATATGACTCAGAGACCAAAACTTGTACATCCCTTAGCAATGTCACAGAATCTTAGACTAGAGCTGCAGAACATTTTAGATCTGGAAATGATCCAAGGACAGGCAAGTACAGTTTCTTAATTGACACAGAGAAGTTATACACATTTTCTCATTTTGACACACCAGCAGGTGTCCATGCAAGGGTCATGTTCAATCATTCAGTTCTGCTGAGTTACAAATTAATGTCACAGGAATAGTGAGAGAATAAATATTTACCTATTAGATGCTGCAAGCATAAGGTATGGCTCATCATCTATTTTGTGGTTCCAGAGATGCCACATCTGTGGAAGCATACCTGCTTCTATTTTTAAATGAATCTTTGACTCACCACTTTTCTCAGAGCAGCAAGTACCTCCTTGTTTCTCAGACTGTAAATTAAAGGGTTGAGCATGGGTGTGAAGATGGTATTAATCATGGAGAGTATTTCGTCCTGTTCTGACGTGTGGAAAAAATGGGGAGTCATGTAGATGATCATGGCTGGCCCATAGTAGAGACTCACTATAGCCAGATGAGAGGAACAAGTGGCCAGGGCTTTCCTTCTGCCCTCTGAAGAATTCATTCGGTGGACTGTAAGGAAGATGAGCATGTAGGAAGACATGATGAGTCCTAAGGGAAGAAGAACAAACACGATGCATATGATAGACACCACTGTCTCATACAAGGAAGTGTCCTCGCAGGAGAGCTTCAGGATGGCAGGCATCTCGCAGAAAAAATGGTGGATTTCTCTGGAACCACAGAAGGGGAAATGCATGGTGTAGATGGTATTGATGAGGGAATTTAGGGCACCTCCACCCCAGGACACCAGGACCATCTGCAGACATACCCTGGGGTTCATGATAACTGGATATCTCAGAGGGTTGCAGATGGCCATAACGGTCATAAGACATGAGGGTCAAAAGGAGACACTCACTACCTCCAAGGGCAAAGAAGAAGAAAATCTGGGTTCCGCAGGCAACTTTTGAGATGTCTTTCTTCCTAGAGAAAAAGTTGATGACTGTTTTTGGGACTGTGGTAGAAATTAAGGCCAGGTCAATAAGCGAGAGATGGCTGAGCAGTATGTACATGGGGGTGTGGAGGCGAGAATCTACCCAGATCAAGAGTATCAGGATAGCATTCCCTATGAAGGTGATGATATAGATCAGGAGAATGGAAGTGATGAGGATGCTGATATATGGCAGCTCTGGGAAAAGCCCCAGAAGAAAGAAGTCTATCCATGTTTCATTTCCTGTATTCATGTTTTGAACTCCCAAACTTCAACTACAGGACATGGAGAGGACAATTAAAAATGTACAATGCTGATGAGGAGGTGTGTTGGCTTTATTCTTATAACTTTATTAAAACTTCCTTTGAACATCATGATAAGTATAAAGAAAAAAATTTGATAGCTGGGAGCAGAGTTTTTATAGGAAAATGTATTTTGGGGAAAATATATTTGGACATGAAAGGTGAGGTCCTAAGGCCCAAAGCTTGGCTATTTAACAACTTTGTATGCAATATTAATATGAATTTGGGGATGGTGCACACATAAACAGACCAGATGAGATGGATCAAAAAGAATTGACCATATTCTTTACAGAATAACAACTGGTGAGAAATTTCCAGGATCAGGTAGCCAAGAAATTTAAGAGCAAGGATGCACATGATTCATGCTAATATTATGTGTATTCCTAGTGTATACATACCTTTCACTATTCTTGAAACTTGAACAGTTTGCCATGCATCTAACCTTCTGTTGGGTGCACCTGTGTGGTGGGAGAGCAGGGGAGGGATAACTTATAGCATGAGATGCTGTGGTACAGAAAAGGGACTGCATGCATGGATTAGGCACATAAACCAAATAAATGACACCAGTAGAAACCACAATTTGGAGGTAGAGACATTCAGCTCCCTTCAGTACTATTGTCCTCACGGAGCATACAGAAAGTTTGAAGAGACGATAGGATTCCTTCTGTATGTGATGTATCTGTATCTGTATCTGTATCTGTATCTATATCTATATCTGCATTATATATATTTATATTTGCATTAGTTTAATTAAATTTTAGAAGATCATAGTAATCCAAGTGGATATCTGCCTTACACATAGGAGAATGGCACAAAATAGGTGTGAAAATTTTCTTGGTAAGATCCACAAAGTGCTCAAGACACCTAATTTCAGAGATATTTTCTTCAAACTCAGGGATAATAACATTCAATGGTCATGGCTTCATACTCAGTACCATCCATGATATTCTTAATCGCATTTAATAGTGGAAAATGAAACAATTCTCTAATCATAGCTACAGTTTTTGAATGCAGTGTGCTGATAGCTTAATGACCAAGTTTGCATGCTGTTATGTTGATGTGTTGTTTTGGCTAACACATACTAAAAAATGTAATTTTACTGCTTATAAAGATATCCTGCAATCATCAATTTGCTTCATTGTTTGCCCATACCCCTATTAACTTACCCTTGGCTACATCAACTTTTTAAAATTTTATTTTAATGTGCTTGATGAAGATGTGCTTTAAAATATCCAAATGAATAAACAAAACATGTAGTTGATAACTGGATAATTTGACTTACATTCAATTGAGTACCCATCTACTCTCTCTGGTAATCAGAACCATTTGAATGATTGTTGGTATAGTCTCTACAACCCTGTTTGTAATTATGGAGTCTCCTAGGGCTAATATGAAATGAAATTTGATGCTTAACTTTTGACCATCATTGAAAACCTGGGACAATGAACTAGGAGACTTGAGGCTGGCCTTTTGCATCCTTTGTATTCTCTGTTCAGTGCCTGCAGGATCCTTCCTTAGTGCAAACAGCTATTCTGTATGTCCCCAGAATTTTTGCAATGCTTTTTCCAAGCTGAGCCTCACTCTTGCTCAGTTTATTTGTTTTTTAGGGCCTGAGGAGACAATTATCCCTCTAAGGAGGAAGGGGGAGAGAGAGAGAGAGAGAGAGAAAATATTCATAAGGAAATTCTCTTGAGGACTGCATTTCCAAAGCACATCAGATGGTGATATAGGAAGGGGCTTTAAAAAATTTAAAGAGAAATTTCAAGTTCACAACAACATTGAGAGGAAGGTACAGAGATTTTTATGTAACCTTGTCACTGCACATGCATAGCCTCCCCATTAAGACTATTCCCAAACATAGTGGTATATTTGTTATAATTGAACTATATTGTCTTATCATTACTTCTCACTAGTATTCATTCATCATAGGATGTTTTTAGAGATGAAAACTAGTTTTTATTTTATAGACTGACTGGTTGGGATGATGGGTTTTAAGGTGAGAGGGCAAACAAAATAACTGAATGATGTATTGGCACTCTTTATCAACAAAATCTCCACCTGGCTTGTTATACCTGAATAATACACAGAACCTTGCTAGAACTGTACGATAAGCATTTATGATTTCCTGTTCATACGTCTGCCTGGAAGAAGCTTGATGGTTTCTTTCATGTTTACACATCAGTTCTATGACATAGTGACTGGTACATAAGACTATTAGTTAGAAAGGAAAAATGAGACAAAGAAGGAGAGAGTAAAGGAGGAAAGGAATAAACCTGTTAGGACCAGTCTCTCTGGGGAAATTCCATTGATATTATTTTAAGCTCTTACTTTTGTAAGTGATAAATATAGAAATACCTTCTTGAGTCCAGTTAAAAATGGAGGGTCATATATGGAAAATTATTCTATTTATTTTCAGATCATTACCATGGTCTAGTTTTACCTGAGTGGATCAGGTCATAAGCCAGGATTGATACATGACCAGGGTCTATTGTCTAATCATACCTATAGGCTGAATTAACTAACTTAGATGCTGTAGGTTTAGTTTTGCTTGGTAATCTTCAACAAGGTGATGCCAAAATTGTACTTTTTTTAAACTAAAGCTTGAAGAACAATTACATAAAAATTATTATTGAGGAAAAAATTCAATAAAAATAATTATGAAATTGAAAATAAATTTCTGGATAGGACAAAATGCAAACCTGAGAAAAATAACAGTTGGCATAGTAAAAATTACTTTTGAAGTGCTGACTAGGAAGGGGCCATTGCTATAAGTCTGTTAATTACTCTCATAGACAGTGTGCCAGATTGCTTTTAGCAGTAGAGAGGTTCACTCACTTGCCTAAGATCAGGTGAATTATAAGCATAGGGCTTGGAATTTGAACCAGGCAGTCTGACTTAGAGCACATGGGCCATCTCTCAACTATGGATGGCCCCACAGTCGTCCTCTCCCATGCAGGCTGGTCCTCTGCTATGGACATCACCATTTAGCCCCCACCATACTGGAGCTACTCACCCCACAATACTGCCTTCTTATTAAACCTGATTGAGAACCAAGTCAGGAATGAAACATCTGGAACAATATAGAAGGAGGGAAACTGGAGCAAGTTGGGGAGGACATTGCTTAGTGGCTTGTAAAGGCCACCTCTATTCTCCCCAGTGCCTCTCAGTTTAGGCCCAACCTACAGTTGAGGTTCCAGGCCAAATTCATTTGCACTGTCTTCAGGTAGAACCTGACTAGGTATCTGGGATCCCCTAGTTGTGGATTTGGGGGCCTATAGAAACAAAACTCTTATAAACTTGCAATAACTGACCTGCAAGTGAGCTTCTAGTGATCAGGTTATTGGTACCAGCAAATCAGCTGCCTTACAAAGCTGTTCATGCCAAGTCAGTAACAACGTTAGAAAACGGGGCCTCCTTAAGGAACTAGGTCTATAGGAGAAAAATCCACTCAGACAGTTGACTTCAGATTTATAGAAAAGAACAAAGCCTGAGCAATGCATGCCATATTGCAGTGGGGCTGTGATATATAAGATATATATAGTCCCTGCCTTAGGCAATGAATGCCTGTTGTTATATAACCACTTCTAGGTGCTCCTATCACCTTTGCCCATGGGAATTCTGCCCCTAGTCATTAATTAATTGTGTTCTCTGATAAATGCTGGAGTTTCTTCTATACTCCAGAGTAATGGTCTAATCAAGTGGGAGGGATTTTAGAAAACAGTGCTTAGACACTTTAGTGCTACATCCTAGGAAACAGATCAGGAATTCTCACTGGCAGTATCACTTAGTGTGGTGTCCATGGCAGAGAAGCAGCCTATATGAGTGGAGAGAAGATGGCTATCGTGGTCATCTACAAGGAAAGATGGCACATGGACTCTATATCAGGCTAGTGAGTCCAAATCCAGGCCTTATACTGTTACATATTTGACCTTGGACAAGTGAGGTGGTCTCTCCCTGGGGCTTCTTATACATAAAACAACACATAGCATATGAATTAATAAGCGAGTAGTAATTACAAAACACTTAAAGCAGTTAGTTCTTCTTAGCACTTGTTAACCGTTGACATTTAAATACTATTACTTGTCTTGTAGATTGACCTTTTTTTCCTGTCCAGAAGTTCATTTTAAATTTAAAATAGATTATTTTTGCCACTAAGGTTTTGATGGAAAACAGTGTAATTCTGGCATCCCTTGGTTCTTGAACAAAAGCGGCAGTACCAAACCTAAACCATGCAAGTCTTATGAGATCAACATCTAGAAAAGATTAAGTAGACCCTGTTCATGTGTCAGTCCTGTCTCATAAACTAAGTCACACAAGCTTTATGGGGAAACTGTATTGGTGCTCTGAGAAAATGTAGGATAATTTTTTCCCATATGTTTCCCTCTCTACATTTAATAAAGAAAATATAGCATCATGATCATCACTTATATAGGTGAGTGATTAAGATTAAACTCATGGGATTTTTAAGAGGGATTGTTCCTTTGAGTGTCCTTGTTCCCTCTCTTACTCGTTCTTTTTTTTTTCTTTTATTATTCATATGTGCATACAAGGCTTGGATCATTTCTCCCCTCTGCCCCACCCCCTCCCTTACCACCCACTCCACCCCTCCCTCTCCTCCCCACCCCCTCAATACCCAGCAGAAGCTATTTTGCCCTTATTTCTAATTTTGTTGTAGAGAGAGTATAAGCAATAATAGGAAGGAACAAGGGTTTTTGCTGGTTGAGATAAGGATAGCTATACAGGCATTGACTCACATTGATTTCCTGTGCGTGTGTGTTACCTTCTAGGTTAATTCTTTTTGATCTAACCTTTTCTCTAGGTCCTGGTCCCCTTTTCCTATTGGCCTCAGTTGCTTTTAAGGTATCTGCTTTAGTTTCTCTGCATTAAGGGCAACAAATGCTAGCTAATTTTTTAGGTGTCCTACCTATCCTCACCCCTCCCTTGTGTGCTCTCG